ATAAATAAGACATCTTTTTTCGACCACACTGTGGTGAATTCGACAGGACCAGCGAGATTCTGGGGGAAGTCAGGGAATAGGCATTCCAATTATGTTAGTAACAATCTAACCACGGCCGATCCCGGCCCCACTTTCTAATTGCTACTCGGAATCGTCGCAGAGTCACTCCTCATCAGCTACTGCGTTCACATGCACTTTCAGTTTCCCGTCTTTTTAATGAAACATGTTGAGTTTGGAGACAGGGGGCGAAGTAGGCGGAAAACACGTCTGTCTCACTAGGAGTCGATTTGCGCAGAAGTCCTCACTGTGGTTTCTTCGGGGAAATGGTGGTCTTCGACGTTCCAACGGGCGAACCATCTTATTGTAGGTGTAAATGGCCAAAATTCTTACACCAACAAATGTCAGCAATAATTTACTACAGGGCTGGGGCCATCACCAGGCGGATGAAAGAACGCGAGAGAGATTTGATACTTCAGGTCAGATCAGGCCTCCGAGAATGTCATAAAGGAAGTCAGCTGCCAAGTGACCCACTTGTGTTAAACGCCCTGTAAGGTCAAATAAAACGTATGCACAGTTCGACGACGACAGAGCGGTGAACAGGCCCGCACGACATGCCCCACAGTGGTGCTAGCAAATGTGATTGTAACACCTGACGTGAATGGTACACGCCTAGCTGAACTTAGATTGGCCTGAAAAATCAACCAATCACGACGCCCGCTGTGCTGATTGGCTGTGTCAATGTGCCATGCGTACGTCGGTCTTTCGACGCAATAGTCTCTTCAATTCCGTTCTGTGCACGCCCGGTAAATTTGGGCCTGGAATTTAGAAGGCACTATATTGCATGCCTGCTCTCCTAAAACCTCGCTGTTCGTCCCCCGCTTTCCAAAATGTTCCTCTGTCATCGTGGCTCCAAACGCTCGTCCCCAGGTCCTCAGGAAGAGACAAATGACCCCTATCACTTGTCTTCCCCCTGCGAATCTATATCTCCGTCCGATAGTTCCAACGGAAATGAATGGCGACTTCCATCAATTCTGACCGCAGGCAGTTTAGATGAGTTGCCGAATGCGCTCCCCGGCGTGCCGGTGATGCCTCCCGTCTTGGAAGCGCAACTAGCCGCAGCAACAGCCGCAGAGGCTGTTTCAGCAGAGCAGGCTAGCAAGAAGTCAGTCCCTGGGTCCTTCACGGATGCGGATGCCCTCTGTCTACCCGAGTCTCTGAAGAAGAGACGCTCTAAGCGTAGACCCATGCTAAGCAGCGTTAGCATGCACAGTCTCCTCAATCCTGTGTTAGATTTCACTCGTGTGGACCAAAGTAGGACCAACCCCTCGATGGAGGAGGTGTCTTTTAGCGATCCGTTGGGTTTTGTGAATCGGAAGGCCAATTACTATGGTATTTCAACTGATGGCAGTCTTTCACTTCCTCTTGCCTCTTCTGGCACTCGTAAAAAATACCAGTACTCTGGTATGAGTCTTCTCTCCCTGGGTCAACGCTCAACAAGCACTTCCCGATCGACCCTGAAAAAGCTCCTATCTTTGGATGTAGATAGCTTCTCTTACCTCATGGACTTCGAAGAACGCTACACGGACCCCTGGGTAGGATCCATTTCGTAAGTGACAATTTCTTTTTCACCGGATTTCGACCTGGTAGAAATAGACTAGCTATTGTTATTTCGATTTCCCTGAGAATGGATAATATTGTGTCTACTTCCAAAGCTTTGAGGGCAGGACGCTAATAGAAGCAAAAACCAACAGTTGGATACGAACCC